ACACACACACACACACACACACACACACACACACACGCACACACGCACGCACGCACGCACGCACGCACACTGTATAAAAATCACGAAACCTCTCTGGAGTCTTTCACATTCTTTGGGGTCTTTTCCATTTCTAAGTCTTGAGTGCCCCCTTGTGGCGTTGCAATGCAAGTGTCCATTTTTTAATTTTATTTTATTTTTTGTCTGTCTCACATTCATTATTTTCAGGAAACCTTCTTTAGCCATAACCTCCTTCCTTAGTTTCATATTTCTTTAGCCTACATGTGTTATGTTTTGGTGATACCGATTTCCTGTTGGTGATTCAACCACAACTTGGTTTCCTGTTTTGCTCACGACCTTGTGTGGTGATGCACTAAATGATGTTGTGAATTTGTCCACTTTTTCCTGTAGAACCAGCTATGTGTCTCCCAGCTCCACTTTTGAATACTGAGCTCCTCCTCGTTGGATGTCAGCATAACATTTTGCTTTTCCTTTCTGTTCTGCATCTCTGTCATGTACATCCAATGCAAATGTATTTGTCTCACTCATGTCCGGTAAATTTCCTCTCATTTTTCTGTTGAATAGAAGTTCCGCTGGACTTTTGCCTGTGGTTGAATGTTCAATGCTGTYGTAAGCTGTGACATATTTTCTTAATTCTCGTTTCCAGTCCAGTKCTTCTGCTTGTGCAATCTGATCCTCTTCATCAGTGACGCGTTCTGCCGTTTAACTTCYCCGTTGGCTTGAGCCCATTTTGGTGTTGTTCTCACATGTTTGATTCCATTATTCTGACAGTATTCTTTGAATCYTTCTGATTTAAAATGRGGATCATTATCTGATCTAATAGAARCTGGTAGACCATGTCTACTAAACATACTGTCAATGGAGTCAATGACTTTCTCTGCAGTTGTAGATGYCAAKYCCTCATATTCATAATAACGACTGTAATAGTCTACCAGCAGTCCAGCACAATAATGGAGTGGTTTGAAGGTAACGATCCCAGTAYGTCTWCTGCCACATCTTGCCACGATCTGTCTGGCCAGAGTCATGAAGAAATTTGCTTCTCAGTTACAGAAGGGCAAAATGTATATACAAAAAATAAAACACTATTGACACGGACCTCGCCACTGATTCCAATACATTTTTTTTTGCCAGTTGAGTCATAGCATGGTTCCAACAGTAACCAAGGCTAATTCATACACATTTACACTGAAATAACCTCATGCAGAATTAAAATTTGTAGAGGTTTGTGATAAATTCCAAACAATCTAAAACCTAACCTAAACTCAATTCACACCTTAGTCATAAACTTAACCCCTATCCCACCAACAGCACACATGGGGATTGGAGAATTGTCCCTAGAAGTGGTCCTCAAAAGGCAGTGTGCATTGGAACAATAGTCCTCACAAGGTAGCAAATATATGTACACAAACACATACACACACACAGCAAGTCTTGGACATGAGGTGTTCATTGGCACACATTTGTTTTACTATAGAAATGGGGACCACAGTCTTGGAGAKGGATTGATTTGATTTGATTTATTTATTTAACAGGAAAAGATATCAAAAATCAAGCCTGACTCAGCATAATTGCTGTTTTGCAGCAGGTTCCTATTCTGCAGCACATAAAACACTCAGAATTACAGCATCACAATCACATCATTATTATTACACCATAGACACAAAGACAAACAAGCATACCAAATTTCAAAACGGCAGCAATTGCTAAATCGGACATCAAAATATGAGCGCAACAAAAAGTGTCCAGCAGATGGCAGACAAAATTCTTCTTAAAGGGCTGTAGTTTTGAAATGGACTTTATGTTTTGAGGAATGTCATTCCATGCTTTAGTATAAACTTAGAAGAAAGACCTCTGGATGGGGACATTGATTTCATAGCTACAGAGGTGGACAGC